GAGACATCCTTACCATCCTTGCCATCCAGAGGGACCTTGACAGGCTGGAGAGGTGGGCCTGTGAGAACCTCATGAAGTTCAACAAGGCCAAGTGCAAGGTCTTGCACGTTGGTCGGGGCAATCCCAAGGACAAGTACAAGCTGGGCGGAGAATGGATTGAGAGGAGCCCTGAGGAAAAGGACTTGGTGGATGAGAAGCTCAACATGAGCCGGCAATATGCACTGGCAGCCCAGAAAGCACATCGTATCCTGGGCTGCATCAAAAGAAGCATGGCCAGCAGGTCAAGGGAGGTGATTCTGCCCCTCTACTCCGCTCTCGTGAGACGTCGCCTGGAATACTGCGTTCAGCTCTGGAGTCCCCAGCACAATGTGGACATGGAGCATGAATGCTGGAGCAGGTCCAGAAGAGGGCCACAAAGATGATCTGAGGGCTGGTGCACCTCTGCTATGAAGACAGGCTGAGAGAGTTGGGGCTGTTCAGCCTGGAGAAGAGAAGGCTCCGGGGTGATCTTATAGCAGCCTTCCAGTACCTAAAGGGGGCCTACAGGAAAGCTGGAGAGGGACTTTTTACAAGGGCGTGTAGTGATAGGACAAGGGGCAATGGCTTTAAACTGAAAGAGGGTAGATTTAGGTTAGATATAAGGAAGAAATTCTGCCCTCTGAGGGTGGTGAGGCACTGGCACATGTTGCCTAGAGAAGCTGTGGCTGCCCCATCCCTGGAGGTGTTCAAGGCCAGGTTGGATGAGGCTTTGGGCAACCTGGTGTAGTGGAGGATGGCTCTGCCCATGGCGGGGGGGTTGGAACTAGATGATCTTTAAGGTCCCTTCCAACCCTAACCATTCTAGGATTCTGTGATTCTAAGTAAGCAGATTTTGGGCTGGTGTAGAGGAGGTTTATGGAGGAGGTTTGGATGGTGAGGGAATTGAGTGGCTAAGAGTGAGCATAGATTTGTCTTATATGTGAGGTCCAACTTCTCTCATCCATTGTTGAGTAGATTTCATCATCAAGTAGACTTCTAAAAAATTAGAAATCTCCTTCTCATGGAAACATTTAGTAATATGTAATACACTTCTTACTTTGAATAAAAATAAGGATGTCTTACTCTGAGCAAAATACCTGAAATTAAATGCCCAGATTAGTGAATGAGCCAGATGAGGATTTTTGTATGTAAATTCAAGTCCTTTCTTTGTAAAATTCTTTGATTGCAAATGGAATTCTTCTGTGAGCTTCCAGCATAAACCACTTCTTGTGGTAGCGTCAGAAAATGACCTGTGTGTTGCAGACTTCTGTCTCGATTTTTATATTTCAGGCACTGTGCTAATGGAAAAACTAACCTATTTTATTTTTATTTGTTATTTACTTTGTGATTTCTTTATTGTAAAAAACAGCCTAAACCATGACTAGTTTGAATTTTTACATTGTCGAGAGTAGCTTGGGTAGAGCAAAGAAAGACCACAATAAGTTTCATTCAAGTACACCATTTTAATTAAAAATTGTAAAGAGATACCATAAATTTAGTATTTTAGCTACAAAAGCAAATACAGTTTTCCATTTTTAAGAAGGTAAAGTACTGTACAAAAAGATTAGACCATTTAAATTTTCTTATTTCGTCTTTTTATGAAAAGCAGAGAAAGCAAATGGCAAATATTTAAAATGTCAAACTAATGGAAGTATAAATGATAAACAACTTGTAATGCATGCAAAAAGAAGCCATGGTTTGCTGTGGGACTGTGAAAAAAGAACTGAATAATTTATCAGGATAGAATAAATAAGAATATTTCAATGCAGCAGTTGCAGGTTTGTTTATTGATCTACCTGGTATAAGTTCTTAAAACGGTTATTGGATAGCACAATCTAGAAAATGTAATATACCTAAAATACTGAAAATGCTTTATTTCTGGGTTTGGGACTTCATTGCCCATCAGGGAAGAAAATCTCAAACAAAACAAACATGAAAACAGAAAAAAAAGCCCAGTACATTACATAATGAAAGACAGAAATTGAAGTTTCTGTAATGCCTAAGACTCAGCTATTGCAGAATGCCTGTAACTACAATATTCCCACAATTATTAAGCGGTGCTTCAAAAGGTCAGTAAAACTGACTATTATAGCCACTCAGAGTTTACATTGTTCTGTCCTACTTGCCACTCAGAAGCAGAGAGAAGATTTTGCACAAGCGTCTGTAAAGTGCACGGTGTAATCAAGTCTCAAATAATTAGGCCAATTAAAATCAACACATTGAATATGTCCCTGAAACATCATGGTCCACAATCAAAAATTGGCCGACGTTAGAAAATGACTTTGCTTCAGGGTTGTTACTCAAAATTAAAGAGCTATTTCCCTTCTAGTTGAGACCTTTTTCTCCAGAAACCGTGAGAACCAAGATTGAGTAAATCGTTCTGGATCACTTGTTGTGTGATCGCCTGCACAAGACCTTGTTTTTCTTCCTCTTTCGTCATCAACAAATGATTCCTCCGATACCCATCTGATAGCACTGCTCAGATCTCCTGGTCATCCTCAGGGAAGCTGTCTAGAATGGACTTCAGTCCTCAAGCAGAAGGTTTTCTGAGAAGGCTGCAGAAGCTGTCCGGTCTCATGTGTTGACTTCATCTGGCTCCTTTCTACATACCTTCTTCATCAATAAAGTTGTATAAAACACACTTCTTCTAAAAAGCAGTTACTTTGGAGCCATATCACCTTCAGAGGACTTGGCAGCATCTCTGAAAGTAACGTGTTTCATTATGTGTGTGAGGCAGACCTACGGTCATTCATTGCTATGTCTGTAGCTCAGTGGACAAAGAATTGTCCTGTGCCCATTTTACCAGTTCTGGAGAGTAGTGTGCTGATCTCTGAGGTTCACCAAGGAACAAAGCTGGGTTCTTCTAGTATCAGTGCTGAGTCAGATTCAAAAAGAGGGGAGAAAAAAAAAATTAGAAAAAAATTTTTTGAGACAATTGTGAGAATGTTATCTTTACATATATTTCTTATATAGGCTTGTTAGGAGATTTAATGGCTAGCGTAAATCTCAGCAGATACAGTTTTAATCATTTTCTCCCTCAGTTTTGGAATAACCATTATTTCCTTTTTTCTCTCTTTTTTTAAACTGTTAAGTATATTCTACCATTTTTCTTTTTCAAAGTGATTTTCAAAGTGTGGGAAACAGCATGAACTCGGCAGGGGCAGATCCCTATATCCCTATAGGAGCACAGCATCCTGAGAAGTCGTTCCCTCCTTCTCTTACAAGCATCCTTTCATAACCTGGGGGCTCTGACAGAGGCCACAGTGGAGGAGGACATCTAAGACCCACTGAGTGCATTAAGGCATTCTGACATGCATTAAT